CCCCCCGTCCCGCGCGAAAAAACGATTCATTTATTCGGTTATTCGGATTTTTATAGAAACAGGTACCTATTTATTCGGTTTTTTGAAAAGCGAATAATGCCCAGGCCTAGTGAGAATAGAGGTGGCCTCCGACTCTAGATATATAGATCTAGATTCATATCTAGATCTAGATCTAGATTCTTGATTAAGTCTTAATATATAGATCTAGATCTAGATCTAGATTAGATCTAGAGTCTAGATATCTAGAATCTAGATCTAGATTCTAGATATATCTAGGTCTTGAGGCCTCCTCCTTTAACTTTAGATAGAAATCTAGAGACTAGAGGCTTTACGTAATTTCTAATCATTCATTGAAGTTAAACTGCCACCAACGATTAAAGATAGATATATCTAGACACAAAAGTCTACCTTTTTTGAAATTACATGTACATGATTCCTCTGCACATCTGTGCACAACATAAATTACTAATTACCTCTGAAGACTAAACGAAGCGGAACGAATTCACAGTGAAACTGGGGTTGTTGAGAACCTCTATGTTGAGGATCTTATGTTTGTTTACTTCCGAGGGCAAGCAAAAAGACTACTGCCTTCCAAGAAGATTTTTACAAATGAAATATATTTCATAGATTTAACCATTTGCATGAGGAACTTGAAAAATATTATTAGACTCTCTAAAAAACAGAACATTATTCTTAAAATTCTTGTCTATTGCTAAAATCTCATAAAACAGCAAAAATAGTTTATTCATTCAATTATTATTTTCTGATAATTAGTTTCGACTTTCAAGTTTTAAGTTTTTATTTGTTTGAAAATGGCCGATCCAGGTGAGTCACGATAAGGTTTGGTTACGAACATAATTTTGCTGGCTAAACTGTGCTGTTCATTTTAATTAAAAATGTATAGATCTAAAATTTTAGAGCCAGTTAGATCTAGAATCTAGATTCTAGATCTACATGATGAATGGACGAAGGTAAACTTGAGAGCCAGAGGCCGCAGAGGAAGATTTTGGGCACTACTAATATAATAGACTCTAGGATCTAGATATAGATATATAGCTCTAGAATCTAGATATCTATATCTAGATCTAGATCTAGTAGATCTAGATCTAGATCTACTTGGTCTTGGATATGGTGGTCCCGACTTTTGTGACAGGGAAAAGAAATATAACCCAGAGAAAATCTAGTCTAGTTTTGACCCCAACGACGATTACTTCTGGTTGTAAGTCTAAACGATTACTTTTTGATTTTCGTGCTGGAGAGATAGGCTATGATCAGATAGCCTTTCAAACCTCATTGCAAAACATCAAATCGTGGTCAAATTCAGGCCCCCCTGAAACACTCCATGTTTGTTTGTTTTTTTAAGTCAAGGGGGCAACCCCCCTTGCCTTGTGAAGAACAAGTGAAATTTTACTGCTCATTTTGTAGGCTAGATTTAGATCTAGGCTACTGATAAAACAAAACATTGATACCGACTATTTAAATCAGTATCGATATTTCAGTAGGCCTATAACTAGATCTATACAAAAGTCGGGACCACCATATCCAAAAGTAGTGTCAGATTTTGGATTTAATTTTAATTTTGATTTTGGACTTGGTATTATATTACATTTTTGCAGTGATTCATAAAAAAAAACCAATTTAAAATGGTCTTTTGGATTTATTAAATTTTCCTACCATAGAATTTCAAAGTTTGTCAGACGTTTTTGGCTGTTATGAGGTCAGAAACCGATTTCTATCTTCTCGTCTTTCAAAATCGCTGTTAGATTGTAGGTTGTTCGGAGTTGTTCCGTTATGAAGTAGCAATGCCAATCGGGCTTTCCCGCGAGGCGAAAATTTGGTCCCCGTTTACGGACGATTTTGCGGACCCGGCCGAAGCGTAGGTAACTAACTTTGTCAACTTCGGTCTGCTCTATTTCCGTACCAATCCGAATGAAACTCGGCAACCAAACAGAAAATAGGGCAAACTAATGATATGTGGACTTTGAAGTTCGTAAACATAAATTAACCTATAATTTTGGTGTCGGGAACACTTTCGTATTGTGTACACCGAAAACTATAAGGAGTTTGAATTTCAACGCCGAGATGGTAATAGATCTATCTATCCTCTATAGTGTGCTCAAATTTGAACGTTCTGTGTCAAGTAGTTGTTTAGACCCGATCATAAATACACGACTACCCCCCTATCCAAAGCGGCTTCGCACGGAGACCGGCCATTTTCCCCTCAACTTCGTCTCGGGGTGTTCGTGTCTCAACGGGGAAAAAGAATTTTTAATTGTACGGCATGCTAGACTGAATTAACTTATCTTTTAAGGTTGGCATGGTCTAAAGTCATCATAAAAAGCTTTGCAATTATTTAGTCACGCTGCCGACATATATTCTCAAGGATCCCATGTTGTGATACGATGCTATAAATAAAATGGACTCATCCCGACACCCCTTTTTCGCAAAATCGTAATATGTACACCACAATTTTAATTATAACAAAATAACTACGAAATTGGTAGTAAATCTGACTGCAGAAATGATTTCTACACTCAAAAACACATCGGGTAGCCAAGTTTCTCTCGAACACTCCGATTTGTTACCGAGATATCGTCGATTTTCTTACAGAATCTGCTACTGCGTGGTCCACTTTTTAGGAGTATTTTCCTATATGTGGGTCATCCATATTTTGCCGACCTTTACAACCCCATAACTTTTTTATTTATGAACCGATTCTCAAAATTCAAGAAGCATAATTCTTAGAATTGAAAATTCTTTCTTAGGTACCAAAAAAAAGGGGACAAAAGTGAAAATTTAAATTTTCATTGGCATTGCATTAGAAAAAGCTTGACGTTTTTTTAAATTTATGAAAACTTGGCAGGCCTACTGAGTAGCCATGCTGGTAAAACTGTAATTCTGAGGTAGATCTATATAGACTCTAATGACACAAAACAATTAACTGTTGTCCTTCGAGGGCCGGGTTTATGTCGCCCGATAAGCCTATTTCGGCACCTCGCCTGCGTTCTGGTCCCGCATCAGTCTGGCCCCTTGCTCAGCGCACACGCGCCGAGCATCATCTCCCGTTCACTTCAAGTCCCGCGTCGGCTCCCCATTCACGCAGATCCAGTGTATGTACGTCAGTCTGCTTGAGTTTGTTCGCATTTGTGGCCTTCTAGAACTGCCTGTGTTGATTTGTAACCGAGGCATACGTCTCATTCAAAACATGCCAAGTTGGTAGTTCTAGATGTTTGTCCAGAGAAATTGTAGAACAAATTGACCCACTTAGGCCTGAGGAGCTCGAAAGGATAGTCAGGAAACAAGACTTCCATTTTCTATACGAAATCTTTCAAATGAGCTTGATTTTGTACCATGAATGATACTACCTGATAAAAAATCAGCTTGTTTGATAATTTTGAATACCATTGTGCAGGTACAAAGAACAATTTGAGTGCAAAACATTAGGAAATAGACCTATATTATCCCCTTTCCAACCCCAGGTCATTCATAACAACAAGAGCGTCTAGAAAGGTTTCGGATGGGCGTAACTACTCTTAATGTCTTATCAGCTTGTGAGAGGGGGTTATTCATGTGTTTGTAACTCTTTATAAATAGAAAGCTATGAAAGATAGAGCGTTATTTTTATCATCGATTAACACACTCCCACAGTATTCATGGCGAAAACACACATTTCCCGTTCCCGGCGCGCGCGCTGAACACCAACAGTACACACTGAGGGACCTCAGCGGCGTACCGGGAATGTCCGACTTAATCGCTTGCTGATAAGATTCGCATCTCAGGACAGGCGCAGGACGAGCGTTAAAACATGGTCTCTAGGCTTTGCGATATTCTTTTACTTTCACTACTGTCTCATGCACGGGTTTTGTTAAAGTAAGCCCTTTTCTTGACTTCAAGTGAATGTTCATCGCAAATTAATAGTGATTGAAATATTTGATGGTTTTTATTAACTAGCTCATTTTGTGTAGTAGAATCTATGCGGGGAGGGGGTATTTTAGCTATATACTTCACGAAGTGTATTACACAGTAAATTCCGTGCTGCTATATATGCATGATCTGGAACCGAAGTTGTGGCCATTTGATCCTCAAAGGCTGTGCATCTGTGTGAAAATTTTATAAAGTATTAATGTGCTTTGTAATTTTTGTTGTTGCAAATTCATTGTTCTTCATTCCTGTGGTGCAAAAGCGAAAAAAATTTTGGAATTCCATTGTCAAGAATTGGAATACCTTAAAATCATCTTCTTAAGAAATGCATATAAACCAATCCTGTTAAATAACACTGAAGACAGTGTAGCACTTTTTGGCATTGGTTTCATAGAGTAAATGTATATATATGCTTTTTTTTTTAAACGCAAAGGCCTCCAGCGTCCTGATGGATCTGACCTGCAGTTAGGAGACAGAGTGGTGTGTGACAACCATCATGCCGTCATCAAATTCATTGGAGCAGTGCCCCCAACTGCAGGTATGTCTCTGGCTGTAGTACAGTGGTCTCCAGCTAATAGCATGGTGGGTAAAAGCATGATCCTTATCGAAACATGCTGGCAGTTTAGAACCAAATTTTTCCTATTAGCACTTGTAAGTACTCGTTCCAAACCAACAAGTCTGTGGAATAGCCCCTCGTTTCTGTTTGCTGCTGTCAGACGAAACAGGATCAGCCGTATAAATGACTCATAATTTCACTTGGAACTGATGGAAGCAAAGCAAACTCCACATGCCCTCCTGTATCACTTGAAATCGTGGTTTTGTTTGAGAAAAGATTAGGGACACGGTGTGAGACAGAATTGTGTAATGAGGAAAGTTAGTTCTTGGTGATGCATGATGGGGGGGTTGGGGGTCAGTGTGAGAGGGCAGTGCTGTAATCATGGCAGTTATTGCGTCTGTGGTGGTTCAGAGTAGGGAAATTACACTCTACGTGTGTGCTCAGCTCAATGATGCACCCACCACAGGAGATCAGGTGATTCACAACAATTAATAAAATTCAACACTGAATGCTACTCTTGACTACTTCCCATCAAAATTGAATAAGAAGGTTTGCTTAAGTGAGAGCTCACTTTTCCTATAACCGAAGGTACGTACTATTAGCTGGAGACCACTGCATTTAAACAAGTTGTTGGTTGAATGGGGAAAGAAAAAAAATACTATCAAGTTACTCTATTTTTAATTTTGAAAATGGAAAAATCAGATCTCATTTGAGAAAAAATCAGATGATTGACAGAAGTATTTGTATAGGGTAAAAAAATGCTTTTACAACAGTTGTAATTAACTCTTTCTGTAAGAAGTTGAGCTATTTTTTTATTGCAGATCTAATTCATGAATGATATGCTATGAAGAGCAGTATTTTTCTCGTCATTAAATGTTCCTAAATGTAGAAACGAAGATTGTTGACTGCTCCTGAAATGTAGAAGCTTTCAAACAGTTGTAAGTTGTTCTATCTAGACTTTCCTGTATCAAACATGGAAAAGATTAATCAATATCCTGATGATTCTTCATAAAACAACTTCAGGTATTTCTGAAGTTGTAATAAATGATTCATAACATATTTCAACTAGCAATAAAAAGTTAATTTTCTATTCTTTTTATCGTTTTTCTCCATAAATGTTTTTTTCTCTTTCTCTATGCTCAGGTATCTGGCTCGGTGTTGAGTGGGATGATCCACAGAGAGGAAAGCACAATGGGAGTCACAATGGAAAGTGCTATTTCAAAACCAGGTAAAGATACCGGTAGCTTCAGTTTGTTGTTTCAAGTTAGATGCCTTCATTGACACCATGCACGTTATTGTGAAGATAGAACATTCGATTCTCTTTCAGGATACTGAGCTGAGAGGAAATACTCTGAGGCTGACTAGGAAAATATGTTGGAATGGAACCTAGCGCATATAAAGTTTGTGACCTACCTTATACTGGCTGGTGTAACTTTATGTTGTCTTGAAGGAAAGATAATGATAACTTTTTGATTTCTATTTTCAATTGTCAGAACGAGTGTTTGGGGTGTAATGGTTGTGCTCTTTGCTACTGCATACTATTGATCATATGGGTTCGATTCTCAATGGGGAAGATGTCTTATATAGCTTCTCTATCTTCCTGCTGGTGTTGCTGTATCCGACTAAGCCAGGATTGGCTAAGACAGGCAAGATAGAAACAGCCTTCCCCCTCGATAATCTAAATTATGTTGATAAGGGAGTAAATTATTGACTGTCAATCATTAGATATCCAGTCAGGATGAATGGTTAAATCAATTGTTACCTCATGGTGGGATCAGATGTGATAATTTTGTTTTGAGTTTTCTGGTATCATCAAGTACATTTTTTGTTGTTGTTCATATTTTCTCATCTGATTAGACAAGCTCCAGCCGTTATCTTAGTGTGTCTGGATCAGTAACGCCGGGTTTGTGTTCATTGTTCGCAATTTTTTTTCAGTATGAATTTCATATTTGCCATCCCCAGCCACCCCAAGTCAGGCTCTTTTGTGCGGTCCAACAAGGTGGATGGAGGAATCACGGCTCTCAGGGCTTTACACGAACGCTATGGCTTGAAGAATGATGAGGAGGCAGGGGTAAAAACCGAAGAGCTGTATGTCCTTGACCAGTATAACAATCAGACGGTGGTTGAGATGGTTGGTGCTAAGAAAGTCAACTTGCTTCAGAGGTAATTCTGTCGTTGTGATCTTACCCCCTTCTTATTATCAATGATGCAGAGGGGTTAGTAATTTCCTGTTGGCTTTTGATTCAGTTGCTTTTGACCTTATGGGCCCTTCTGTGCCTAGAAGTTAAGGGGGTGGGGGGGGGGGAGGGGGGGTGCAGTCAGGGCTCAAAGGCTAATAAATGGAAATGCACAGGGTTCCAAAACATGTCTGGTTCAAAATATTGATTTTTGTTGGCACATCAGAAAATGTGTGAGGAGTGTCAAAGAGTGTATGATTGGCCTACCAATGAGTATGAGTTGTGTAAGGGATTTCTTTGGCTTAGTGTAGATATACCTGACTTCCTTTGATGTAAATGACTCACTTTTTTATGACAGGTGTTTAGAATAAGGACCTTTCTCAAGGAAGCGCAGGCACTTATTTAAAATGTGACAGTCACACAATACAGTGCTTATACTTGGGGGCAAGTTTAGGCCCAGAACTGGCTGTCCCTGATGAATGTGGTGCTTCCCGGATACCTGACTCTCAAAAGGGCTACAATTTTATTTCCGTCGTCTTACTTTTCTTTACGGTTATTTCTCTGTCATCTTTCTTTTCTTTCTGGTTATTTCTCCGTCATCTTACTTTTCTTTCTTGTTATTTCTCTGTCATCTTTCTTTTCTTTCTGGTTATTTCTCCGTCATCTTACTTTTCTTTCTGGTTATTTCTCCGTCATCTTACTTTTCTTTCTGGTTATTTTTCCGTCACCTTACTTATTTTTACAGTTATTTCTCTTCCACAGCCAATTTAACAAGCTGAAGAAGATCTCCTTTTTTGACATGAGGGTCTACCATGCAGGACCTGATGGTGAGATTGGGCGTCTTTGTCCATGCATCTCAGATCTGGATATTGGCAGGTGCTTGTTTCCCTCCTGGGAGAGGGTGGCTCAGATGGCAAGCCAGTTTCCCAACCTGAAGGAGCTGAACGTCAGGTAAGGCAAGGGATAGTGTGGATGCTCACTTGTGCTTATTTATTTTGATAAGGGATTTTAATGTCTTATTCCATGAATATTGTCTTGTAGAAGGTCCAGCTGCTTAATACTTTGCAACAGCATTTCAGGTAGTTCTTAGTAAGTAGTCAAATTGATTCAAATTATTAACTCTGTACCGCGGGGGGGGGGGGGGGGGGGGGGGGTTAATCCACTGTGCCAAGGCCTTCTTTTTGTACGAAAGCTAAAATTTACATATACGTCTTTAAATTAATCATTAAATCAAAACAAGTGAACCTATTTTGATAGTTCTTCAGACAGAACTGCATGATATGGCCGGCACTGTCGGCACTGTGCCCTTGTTGATGTGCATTGATCCTGTTCTGCGAGTCACGACTCCCATCTCGTCGAACCTTCAATCTTCTTAAATTTTATTAAAGTGGCGTGATGTAACTAATGCGTCACACATGGATGATCTGTCTATGGTGCGTAGCAAAATTTCAGCGTCACCTTTCACTCAAGAAAAATGTGTTTTCCAACACTTTTGTCCTTCACTTTCAGCGAAAATCGACTATCAATACCCAAAGACCCAAGCTCGCTGAGCTCCAACTTTTCTCGTCTTCGCAACTTGACGATGAACCGCGTGAGCTTGAACTGGAAAGAGGTGCTGACCTGCTGCTCCATGTTCCCCTGCCTCGATGAGCTTCACATAGGCTTTAACAACATCTCGGCTCTCTCTGAGGATATCCACAGTATTATGGGTCTGAAGACCCTGGATTTGATGACCAACGCGATTGGGGATTGGAGTGAAGTGCTCAAACTTGGTGATTTACCAAGGTAACGTCACTCGAATAAGAATATTTACTCAAACTCTTCTAAAGAGAACTTGCTCCTTTATTGTGTTGAAATTGATTCTCTACAAAAGGTTGACCTGGTCATATTACAAACTGAAATTTTAACTCCCAAATAGATCTCAGAAACAGGGCATTTTGTGGAAAGAATGGGAAATGTTTGAATTACAGTGAAACTCGGATTCAACGAGGTGGCCGGGCCTGACCTAAAATCTCATTGAATCCGAGTGTTCATTATAGCAAACATGAGGTTTTGTGTAGATAATTACAGGCACTGAGCAAGTAATGTATAAAGAGAAGTCACAAGTAGTGCCTGAAATGCCTGTATATTATGAACTGTGTAAAAAAAAGACAAATTCGTTCAAATGCACGCCTTTGTCATCTCGATTGTTTGCCAAAAATTGTGTTGCTGTGTAGAGCCTAGCATACGGCAACTTTTGATTCCATAGACTAGTGCACAATTCATTACGTAGAACTACTTCAAGACTAGCTTTTAACTGTAATAATGATCAGTTGCCGAGGGGAAAAAAAAAGACTGACGCGTTTGTGTCTGCGACGTTCAACGCTCGGACCGTTAATGCCCCCCCCCCCCCCCCCCTTCCCCAACACCCAATCACAGTCACACATGTGCAGGCCGCCCATCCAACCCCAACATACACCAGAATAGACGTGTGCGAGTGCCAATAACGCATGTGTTGGTATGAAAAAAGGCAGCTGATTGGTAGCATCAACCGGCTAAGTGAATAATGGTTCACGATGCGGGTGCCATGGATGGTTTCCGAGAATAGATAAAGTTCGTTCTGGGAATAAAAATGAGCAAAGCCACATCTGCAGGGGCTGTTCACCCTGGAAGCGACCTCGTTGAATCCGAGCTTTCTGATTTAAGTATTCCTTGAATCCTGGTTATTTTTTATTGATTTTAAAGAAGAAAAAAACGGGGAATCTATCTCCTCTCATTGAATCCGAGTTCCACTGTACTTGATTTATTGTTCTTATTTATAATGGCTAAATTCTTTGACAGTTGGAGCAAAACAGAATGGGAGGTTCTTTTTTTTTTTTTAATGATGTCTATATTGTGCGAAGTTAACATAATGAAACTGTTGCTCAGTGGTTGTCAATTTTTCCATCTGCTGTAATGGGTGATGTCTGTAATGCCAAAGCCTGATAATATAGTTCTTCTTCAACATTGCTAACCCTGACTAAATCGCGATACAAGAACAATCCAACTTGTGTGTTTTTCACTGGTAATCCTATGAAAGGTAGCAAAAAGTGCTTTGAGGAAAGGTTAAAATAACTTTGAAATGTATGGGGCCAAATTCCAAAACACATCTTGGTTTCACTGTTTCACAATGATGCTCAGCGCAGTTTACAACAGCAGTGCTTTTGAAAAGATTACGATTCTGAACTATTGAATGTGTATACTCTTTGTCATTTCAGATTGGAAACCCTTTTAGTCAGTGAGAATAAAATCAAATCTCTCTTCTTCCCGGACTGTGGGCCAAACGAGATAACCACGTCTTTTCCCAAGCTCAAAGGTTTAGTCTTCAAAAGGAATGAGATTTCCGAGGTAAGTGATGCTTTCAGGACAGACTTCAGTAGAGTTTATTTCATTTGATGTCGTGATCTTAAGCTCACATTTTGAAGTAAAGTTTTTGTTTAACTTTTAAGCCAATCAATATTGTCCATTGCTTTATAAAGATAGTTTGAAAAACTATTTTTATCTTGCTATTATTTTTCACTTGTATTGTTGTTTTGGGTTTTTTTTTGGTACTGATTTACTGTTCTTTTTTCCAGAATACTAGATTGCTGTTATTATTAGACTTGTTTTTCCTAGATACTCAGCTATTGTTTTTCCTGAGTGCTACTTCCAACTCTTTTAATAAATCTCATCTGTGTACCTGACTTTTTATTTTTTGAGCACACTTCATTTTAAGTTCTCCTCATACTTTTTTACTTAAATTTGGGCTGATTTGTTTAACCCTTTCCACGAGCAATTACTTAATCACTTTTATATATAATAAATAGACTGGTGGAGCGATGTGTGGAGAGTGGCACGAAAAGAGTGAAGCATTGATGTATGCCCTTATCTTTCAGTGATTTTTTCTTTCACAGCTATGAGATTGTACGACGTCACTTGCAATTTATCGTCATACTCAGTTGGATTGATAACAAACTTTGAGACTTTGTCATCGTTCCTATTTTCCCTCCTTTAAAAAAAATTCTCTTACTGAATTGTTCTCTGAGATTAAAGAAATTAAGTATGTGGTTGACAGGTGCTCTGGTGTGGTTTGCTCCTTCTTTCCTATCAAACATCTATCGTCCTGATCTCTTCTCCTTCTTTTTTATGTTTGTTACTCTATTGTAACGCCTCTAATCTTCAGCAGTTATATAACCTTATTGTGTTGCAAGTGCCGTAAAACTTTTATGAAAACTAAAAAAAGGAAATAACTTTAATGACCTTATTTGTTCCAGTGGTCTTCCATAAACGAGCTGAACAAATTACAGCATCTGGAAGAGCTGCAGCTTGCAGGCAACCCGATCGTGGCCTCGTACAACGCCGAGACTGTTCGACAGCTCTTGGTGGCCAAGATAAGCAACCTCAAGCTCATCAGTCGAACTCCTGTGAGTTCTGTTGAAGATGTATCAATCGTTAATTTTTAGATTGTCAGTGGTAGGGAGCACAAGGTTCCAAATCTCTGGGAAAGCCTGTTTAAAAAGATAAACGAAGTAACACTTAGTTCTGATACATTACTTCAGTTACTTCAAGAGGTTTTTGAGCTTTTGTAAGCACTTATTTTTATTTCAAAACAAGGGCAAAAATATGTTACTTATGATGTTGAGCTATATTATTCTTCTGAACACCAAAAATAATATCGTGTTTGCACTTCTTTTTATCTTAAGGGTAAACATGCGTCTACATTCTTATGAACACCAGAGGACATTATGTTTGAAAACTTCCAGAATAGTCTCTTTGCTCCCAACATCTTCAGTGTTGAGGGGAAACAGTCGTGTGGTAAGAGAAAGAAGGAATTATCTTTATCCGTCCTCTTGTACCTCTAGGGCATCGAGGGGAGAAAGAGCTTCCTGTCTCTAGCAAGTTTGATTGCCTGGCTGGGTGGGATATTGAATGTTCTCAGGGTATCCTTCACACCCTGGATCCAGGTCCTTCTTGGTCTTCCTCTTGCTTTGTACCCTGACACTTTCCTGTAGTAGGCTTTACTGGCAAGCTGGTTAGCTGCCATACGTGTGAGATGTCCAAACCACCTGATTGTTTGCCTACTATGGATGTAGTGGAGAACAGGTGTTGTTTCCACCATTTCTCTAATCTTGTTGTTTCTGACCATGTCCCGTCTGGTTTTGTTGACAGCTCTCCTTACGTTCCAGACTTTTGGTCAGGGTCCATGTCTAGCACTGGTAGGTCAAGATGGGGATGAAGATAGAGTTAATGAGCTTGGCCTTGGTTTCAATTGGGATGTTGAGATGTTTGAGGAGTGGGGCAAGCTGGTTAAGGTTACTGTAACAAAAAAAACCCCCAGAACCCCCTGAGGACATGGTTATGTTTTCCTTTTTAAAAATATCTTTTCAGTGTTTTTGTTCATAGCAGGTTGTCTCATGGTTAATTGTAACTCAGTTTTAGACTTTCAGCAATATTGTTTTGGTTCTGTTTTTGTTCCAGATTACATACGAGGAGAGGAAAGGTGCGGAGATTGATTACCTCAAACGTTTTGGCACAGAATGGAAGAAGGAAGGAGGGAGCAGTGATAGTGCCAAGAACAAACCGAGTGAAGCTTTTGTAGCAAACCACCCACGATACAAGATTATTGCAGACAGTAAGTGTTTTCCTGCATCTACGTGATGGGAGGCTGTGTCTGCAATTGTGGTAATATTTGGAGATCATTAACTGGACTCTCATTCCAAGGTGGATAATTGCTGGAAGCAAAATGGTTTTTAACTTAATTTTCTTATCCCTGATTGATCAGTGTTCTTGGTTTTATTTAAGTGTGACATCCCTTCGTGGGAATTGGATCATTGTGGTAATTAGACCAGTTATAATAGCAATAGAAACCCCTCATAAAGCATGTTTATATGGCCTGGGGTATCATTTTATTTGCTTATGCTATCACTTGTGATATTAGATATTGGATAGCTGTGTACATAAAGTCAACACCTCGTGGTCTATGTAACAAGCAATAATGAGCAATATTAAGTTTCTATGAAGATTCTGAAATGAGGTTTTTGTTTACCTCTTTTCCTTTTGATACATTTTGCATTTTTTCTCTTCGTTTCTCTAGAATGGGGCGCTCCGGAAGATTCAGAGCTGGGAGAGAAATCGTCTGCCTTAAAAGATAATTTAATAGGTAAGAAAATGATTACAGTTTGTGTTTAAAATTGTAGTTTATTTCTTTATAGTGAACTGAGACTTAAAATGTGCATTCTTGTCTCTGTGATATTTGCTCGAGCTTCAGTCATGTTCAGAGTTGGCCCATAGTGTGTGAAAAAGTAAACACACACTATGATAGTGATACAGTTATTGGAAAAGGCAAATTGGCATATTTTGAAATTTGAGGCAAAGCTGATCGAAGATTTTGTACTTCGATCTTTTCTTGGGTTATTTCCTTTGTCTTCGACATTTTTCTTTTCATTTGCTTTATAGAATAGATGATGACTTTTGTGTTATGATAGGATGTACAGCATTTTTATTTGAGATATGCTTTCTTTAATCATAAATGATATGATAATGGAAAGTCTGGTGATGCGAGATATTTTTCTTGCAGAACCCCTTTATATGATTTGTTAATATGTTATAGTCTATTGCTGATTTATGATGATTTTGTGACATGCTTGTTCTGTCTGTGTATTTCTTCAGTCTTTAAACTATATGAGTATCTGATACTGTTTGTTCCTGATTAGGACTTGTGAATTCTAATATTTGACTCCTGCCTTTCAATGGTTTTCAGCTGTCAAAGTCTTCAGTGCCCAACATCCAGAGAGGGGAATGCTTAGCAAGAAACTGCCAGGTAAGAGAAAATACAGCGGTTTCTGTTTGTCTCTTTACCTCAAGTATTCAGTAACCTCAGGCAAGATTTTTCAAACTTTTGCTAGTCTCAAACTGTGCACAGTCTACTCCATTTGGGTTGAAGTTGCCTTCCTAAATAGTTTTAAATGAGGTCAATTATTGTTTTGTCATATTCAGTCTTGTGTCCATCAGTGTTTTTCACTTCTTAATTAGGTTTCTTCAGTTGATATCTGTAAAGGTATGAATGAGTCCTCTTTCTCGGCAGTGTTTATTTGTTTGGAGGGGGGGGGGGGCACTGCTTGCAGACCTATAGATATAATACTATTTGCTCTGGCCCGATGCTTGGCTTCTCATAAATAGGTGAAAAGTAAGAGTAAGATTTAAGATTTATCTTTGCTTCTCTTGGCACCATAATACTTCTCTCATATGATTAAAAGGAAAGAAATATTGGGGAAAGACCCCAATACAGGACCCAAGTGCGATTCATCGAAATCACCGGGCCTGACCTTAAAGAAATGGGAAATCCATCTCCTTTAGTTGAATCTGAGTTTTCGTTGGATGTGAGTTTGTTAAATCCGAGTTCTACTGAATTGCACAGAAGGGTAAAAGTAGCATGTATGGAACGCTTAGGCCTGCATTTGGACTCCAAGGGTTAAAACGTAGTTTTTTTTTTCATGAATACCTAATATCTTCATTTAGGCAAATGTCTCCATAAGCTTAATCTAAATGGAAATGAATTTATAGCACTTCCAATTTGGCTGCTATGAAAAAATATTATAGATTGTTACTCGGGATGGTTAATTGACAATGGCAAAGTTGTTGGAGGAGGAGACAATTTCGTCAGAGTCACTGACATAGCTGCTGATATATATAGAACCCACAGAACTGAGGTGTACACTATACGATGTGAGGCGTGCTGACACAATGAATTACTTCTTTCAATCTGAGAATAGAGATGTCGACCGAAAATCGACCCTGGGGTCAGATTTATGGATTTTCAATTGATGCAATTTTGTTCAAGTTTATCGTGTCTTTCATTATTCCATACTTACAAGTTGTACAAACTCCACCTATAAAGTTGATGTATCAATTTCCATAAAAGGCTTAAAATCTGAGATGTAACTCCTTTTGTCAGCACATCTCACATATTTTCCTTTCTGACTCTTGTTCCTCTCTGTCTCAGGTACCATGTCCATCCAGAAGTTAAAGACTTTGATACAACGCTTATACAAAATGAGCTCTGAACCCACACTCACCTACAAGAGTCACAAGGTTGGTTGTTTTTGTTAAATAAAGAATGTTCCTTTTGAACTAAAACAGTTTTTTCCTCTGATTCTCATGGTTGACTCTAGGACAAATGAGAACTTTCTTTCTCCTTTTATTTGATCAGGCAACACAGATGTAGTAGTTGGTTTGTTTTTTTGGTAAGTGTTTTGTGGCGCTCGGAACTGCATAAGGTCATATGAGCGCGCGAGACACATCAAACATTTTCAGTTGATAAGAAATTTTGAATTTTGCTCGGGTGCGGCTGAAGCCTACTCTTATCGATTTTAGACCACCAAATGATCTTTAACATGCGCAACTTTCTCACGGGACCTCCGAGAATTTTCGCCTGTTCGAGAAGGCTAGGTGTAGATCTTTCCTACCTGAAGATCAGGGGTTTGGCTGAAGCCAAGGAGTAGCAGTAGAACGGCTGCAGAAAGTACCAGGAGCCCAGAGAGGGGGCAAAGGTGGTAGGGGCAGAAAGTGGAGACGAAAGCAGATGACAGAACATTGTTAGAGAGCATGAAAGGAGACAATTGTAGGGAAGAACATTTTTCCATTGCTGCCCGGATTCGAACCGGGGACCTTTGAATGAGAGGCGAACTCTGTAACTTCTAGACCATGAGAGCCCCGGATGTAGTAGTTTAATGAGTGCTAATTCAGCTCTATTTATACACTAAAATTTCCCTTTTTGTGGGTAGTTGGACAATACCTATGTGTGGTTTTACTTCTTAACTATCCCTCTGTAGTTTCTATCTGTTAGTCTTTCTTTTTCTTGGTCTTAATTGAGGGGTGTTGTGTCTATGTGCTTCCATTTAAAGAAAAAATCCAAAACAGTCATAACAAAGTTGGTCATTTATATTTTTTTGACCTCCTAAATTAACTTAAAATGGGATGCATTGACAATGACAGATTTTTACGCTGTATAATTTCTCTGGATTCCCGATTATTCCCCTCCTCGTCTTCCTCAGGCAGCAGACGGCCCAGTGATAGAGCTAGACAATGACCTCAGGCAGTTGGGATTCTTCTCCATTGAGACCGGGGACAGTCTCCTTGTGTCCTGGTGACACTGGGCTCCCCATGTTCAAATGTGTCGTGACGACGTTTTGGAATCAGGCGCTCGTCAACTTTGGGGCAAATAAGAGTTATTAATATTATTTTAAAGTTTGTTCATTTGTCTTCAATTTGGCGAAAGAAAACCCCCCCCATCTCTCTTGAAAAGGAGTCGAGATATTTACAATTGAAAGAGGTGGGGGGCATCTGCTATGAGAGGTAAAATTAGTGAGATAACGGCCACCAAAGATTGATGACTTCCAAAGTTTGAGTGTCCTTGGGAACTGCAAATTCACATTTTTCATGCCTTTAATGAACCCTGTACAGTAACATCCACTCAGAAATGCATTTTCAAGGACAAAAGATGTTGATTAAAAAAAAGTGAAGAAGAAGAAGAAAATTGAAAAACATTTCCCGATGGCCAGAAAAAAGCTGGTTTCTTTGATTCATTATTTTGACGAGCGCCTGATTTCAGCACGCTGCCTCACAAATTATTGTCCTGACTTGAGTGGAACCCATTAGCTGTCATAACAAGATCACTTAGCATACTGCTGGTGTTCTTCTTACTTAAAGTGGATTGTACACTTTTATGAACTGAACTATTGACGGAAAAAAAAGCTTTTTAAAGGATATATTATTTCATTCGTTACTCGTACATTTGTCTATGTTAGCAACAGAGTACTTCCATTTTTTATTGCAACTTCATGAAACAAGATTTTGTGAGGAGCAAGAGAAGATTGTGTTAAACTAGATTCAACTTTATAGTACTCAAGAGTCCTAAAGGTACAAATGGATGTGATGGGTTCAAGTTTTTTACGTAATTTGTCCGATTGACATTGTGTTCATCCAAATATGGGCTACATCTGTGATACAAATTAACCTGAACCTTTTTTTGTTGTCATTGTCGAACCCCTCCCCACCATTTTCAGTCTCGGTCTGTGTGTCTGTCTCTGTCTTCTTCCTGTTCTTTTGAGAGATACCTTACTTCTTACCATTCCCCTTTGACATGGTTTTTAAAAATTGAAATACCATTTACACTCCCACCTCCACCCCCGCCAAACACTCACACACTCACTCTCACACACACACACACACACACACACACACACACACACACACACACACACACACACACACACACACACACACACACACACACACACACACACACACACACACACGCGCACACACACACACACACACGCACACACACACACTCTCACCTACTTTCTACCCATGACTTTGGCAGTGTTTCACTGTTGTATAATTCCCTAACCCACCCCTTTTAACTCTCACTTTCCCACAGTATCCACTATTACTTGATATATTACATATTGATTGATCCGCCTGGTATCTGGTGGTGCGTCGGCCTGCCCCCCCCCCCCCCCCCCCCAAAATTGAATCTTAATTTTCTCTCTCACTCGCTGCGTTGTACAGTGATTGATGTCCAGTGAGAGTGATTTTTTCATGTCGTGTCCTGCTGCAATCAAAAGTTATGTCCCTCATGGAGAAAGAGAGAGAGAGAGAAAGAATTGTCTAGTTTTGTCCTGGTATTAATGACATCCTCAATTGTCCGTACTGAAGGGCCGATGGTATTTCTTGCAGATATGCTTGTTGGGCTGATGCCATCGTGGGACCTCCTCTAGCTTTCCTCCATCTATTCAATGCGGTGCCTATACAGAGATCTGATCCTTTCTTTTGCGTCTAGCCAATCACAACTCATTGTTCCTCAAAGGCTACATTGCTTCTTCTGGCGTTGCTCTATCTATTCAATGCGGTGCCTGACATTCAGGGATCTGGTTCTTTCTTCTGCGTCTAGCAAATCGCAACCCATTATTGTTGTTCCTCAAAGGCAACTTGGTCTCTTTTCATGTTTTCTGCCCCCCCCGTGTTGCCTGTGCTTAGGTTATACTATAGTTAGGCAAAAAGAGTTGCATCTCAGCACCCTCTGTGTGCACTGCGTATCGTATTTCCTTTTATTGAACATGTGTATCAAGCTATCTTTAGTCTAATAGTTCAGCCATATACTGCTATGCTAAAGAAGTAACTCCTTTACAGTTTCCTACACCCGAATTACAAAGTTCTATCTGCTCAGTAGCTAGTTTTGAGAAATTTGACGTAAAGAATTTAGAGTTTCTCAACATGTCAGGCTTTTTTAAAAGCAATTTTTCGAATGTCTTGATAAAGACTCTGAATAATCTTACTATTTTGATAGAGCGGATTCAACATTTGGTTTCGGACCTCATGGTCTTAGTAAATCAAACTGGATTATCAGATAGAACTTTATAATTCTAAGGTAGTGAGTTGTGTCCTGTAAAAATGATTTTTGATTGAACTGAGTGAGTAAATTAATGTTATATCATGCCAAATTATGTCATGAGAGTGAGTTGCTCAGTGCTTTGTGCTTCCCCTCGGACTGAGCCTTGTCATCATTTTGCATTTAAGAATGCAATAAAATGGAGAATGTCAACAAGTACGAAGTGTTAAAGTGCCTTTGTGTCTGTAAAGTTTGCTGTGTGTGTTATGATTTTGTGGATTGTATGTTTAGTAGGAATTTGTTTTCTTTTTCTTTTTGTCTTTTTCCCGATAGATCTAGAAGAAATAGTAATTAAAGACATGAGTGCGGGTTGTTGGTGGGTGCTCTGGAGTGGTTTGCTCCTTCTATCCTATCAAACGTTTATCGTCCTTGTCTCGGCTTCTTTTTTATTGTCTGTTACTTTCCTGTAAAACTTCTTATCTCCAGCACTTATATAAGCTAACTGTGGTGAAAGTGCCATCAAACTTTTACTAAAACTAAAATTCTCTCATTTGATTTTGAATTTCTTCGAGAATTAATCTGTGGAATTTTGTCTGATGCTATTAAACAGGTCATATGCAAAACATACTGTGCAGGACTGGGGGTCATGCGTCTGCAGTTTGGAGTTTGGTGCTTAAAGTGTTATATATTAGCTACGAGCTAAGGCTTATTCACTTGTTAGCGGTTACAGTTAAAGCAAGATAAAAACGAATTTCTCGGTTAAAACTTCTCAGGTCTTTGCATGCAGGTCTAAAAGATGAATCACCAACAGAATCTAAAAGCTTTTTTTTGAAGGCCATTGCAAAATAAGGTTCCCTCACGTTTTCTTTGACGTTAGCCTGAAGCAGATGAGAAAATTACAGAGGTTTTACAGCATGCACCTAAAACATAAAAACAGTTGAGTATCTTTATCAATATCATACTTAAACGCACGCCTTTAAAACATGGTCCAACAGACCGGTGAATCCTTTTCGAGACTCGCTTGGAGAGGTCTAAATATGGTTTTGGAAGGAAATCTACAAGCTTGCACTGAAATAAAGGGGCAGGGTGGTGTTGCTGTCTCAAAATGAGCAATTTGTAAGCTAGGTTACTGTAAATCATTTACTGTATTGATCCTGTGTATACACCTACTAAACAACAGTATTTATAATGTAGGGCCCAAATAAAGAATCTTTATTTTCTGGATCAAGATTCTTTGGTCACTGGGTTACAGGAGTGCTCTACAAAGTTACATGCTCATTAGTAAATTAATAATTGAAGTAAATATCTTTAAACATGGTCAGAAGAAAGTGAACACGCTATAGATCTTTTATATGTATATTATGCAGTGTTCTTCAGTTGGAAGCTTATTACATGATGTAGGCATGAGAATGCAAACCAAATATGTAACAACCCTGTGAGTTCTGTGAAGTCTGAAGATGGAAAGTGAAATGTCAAAATATTGTGAAACGATTATTAAAAATTAATACAATTTACACACTACATGATATGTGTGTTTCAATGTTCATGTAGAAATTTACTGGTACATAATATTATTAGTTTAAAAAAAAAACCCTCAGGAAACTTTTTCTAGGCCCTAGTAAAAAAAAGAGCAAATAAGTAATGGTCAACGATGTTCCTTTCTAGTCTAGTAAACTGTACAGTAACGACATCTACAATGTGCCATAGCAAGACAAAATACAGAATACTGTCTCGGGCTTTCTTTCCCTGGCACGGCGTCATATTATATTTCGGCCGATGTTGTACCTTTTTCGTGACTCAGCAGCCCGCGGAGCTCCCCGCCTCGAGGTCATCGGGGTTAATTAGCCCTGAGGCGACCGCAAATGCTCATAGAAACTGAAAGAAAAGCTCAGAAAGTCTGGGTGCTGATTCAGTGTCTTTAGAAAGCTAGAAATTATTCTGAAAACCCAGTCATTACGACATGTAGTTACCCTCGTTCTTCAGGGTGCAGAAATACAGCTTCCTATCATCTCAGCAGATACGCCCTTTGGTGGTAGGTCTACCTCCATCTATATTATGTTGTTAATGTTCCAAAAGTTTGGCAATTTTTGTTGAGCCCATTTTTTTCAATCAGGATTTTTTTTCATCCACACTTGTCCACACCTCCCCCAATCTTGCATTGCCGACTTCAAAACGTCTAATGAAACCCGGCAAGTTACGGTGTCAGCGTTTTTTTTTTAAGCCTCAAGAACAGGAACACTTGCCGTGGGTGCATTTTTACAATGATAAGTGCCATAAGTACATGTACAAGAGGATATACCTTAAACTTAAAGTTGAAAAGTACCAAAATATTAAGTCAGCCCACCCAGCAGAGAGGCGACAGGGATCAGCTGACTGACCCCCCCACCCCCGTGACCCCGACTTGATAGATAAGGCGTCTGACGGGGTGCAAGGCCAGGTGGTCCTTACCCTTTCACCGTTCTGTCACACCTAAAACAACATCTCTGTCCGGGTGCACAACAGCGTGTTCCCAGTCAACGCAAAAATCGAGAGACTCGGTCTGAGCAACTTTCCTGAAGGTGAACTTGTGCAGCAGATAGATCAAGGCCACTCGTAGTTCCACCCACGCCAAATGCTGGCCGACACAGATCCGAGACCCGGCTCCAAATGGCATCCACGTTTTGTGCTGTTGCTGTTGCTGTTGCTGTTGTTGTTGTTGTTGTTGTTTGGTTGTGCTCGTCAGGAAACGGTCCGGGCAAAATTTCTTGGGGTCATTCCAAATCTCCGGAGCTCGATGAATTCCCCACGTGAAGATGCGCAAGTCAGACTGATGAAAGTGAAAATATATATAGCCTATAATTTAGTGATATCCAATTGTTTAGCAGAAGTGCTAGTAAAGTTTCATGTCATTATTCTTCCTAGATGTGCACACACACACACACACACACACACACACACACACACACACACACACACACACACACACACACACACACACGCACACACACACACACATACACACACACACACACACACACACACACACATACACACTCACACGCACACACACACACGTCATAAATATACATTATACACGCATGCGGACAGTGAGGGGAGGGAGAGAGAGAGAGAGAGAGAGAGAGAGAGAGAGAGAGAGAGAGAGAGAGAGAGAGAGAGAGAGAGAGAGAGAGACAGACAGACAGACAGACAGACAGACAGACAGACAGACAGACAGAGACAGAGAGAGAGAGACAGAGAGAGATACACACACATACACACAATAACACACACACGCACGCACACAATCACACACAATAAACACAAAGACGTGAGTGAGACACAAACCTGTGGGGGCAACGTGAAAGCGTCCAGGGCTATCTCACCCTCCGTCTGTCGGCTGATGAATGGCGCTATGGCGTATGTGCGAAGCAGTTCCTTGACGGTTGACTCTAGTTTGGGCGGCACGACGGACGCGTCTTTGCTGATGGCGTACACGAACTCGTCTGCTTCTGCCTGGAGCTCTCTCTGCCGAGAAAACAGTTTTTGTTTCGCGTTTGTTTGTTTGTTTTGTCTGTTTTTTGTCGTGGCTGATGTGTTGTAGTGATGTCTATCTATCTATCTATCTATCTATCTATCTATCTATCTATCTATCTATCTATCTATTTATCCATCTACCTATGTGAGCTAATATGGGTATCATTTAAAAAACCCAATAGGTTTACATCTCTATGTCATTATTATACACATGTATATCATATGGTAAGGTGATTCGTAGTCACATGCAGAACTCTCAAGTTCCAGTCTCGAGTGGAAGAGAATTTTCATCGAGTGAGTATCTCAGTCTTTCTGCCTGAATGTTATATTCTTTTCAGTTTGGGATGGCCCAGGCAGATGACCCGCCTCCTAAATTGTTTAAATTGTTTCGAAGCGGGCGTAAAAACACATAAAAAAAACTCTAAACCCCTTTGAACTTAAGCGCAGAACCTCCGAACTGACATAATCTCTAACAGGATTGGATCAACTGAGTGTAGAACCTTGAAAACTGTGGGTGGTTGGCGGGTGCTCTGGTGTGGCTTGCTTCTTCTTTCCAATCAAACATCTATCTATCGTCTTTATCTCCCCTCCTTTTTTGCGTTTGTTACTCTCTTGTAACACCTCTAATCTTCGGCACTTATATGACCTTGTTGTGTTGGAAATGCCGTAAAATGCTTACTAAAACTAAAACTTGACAACTCCCCAAACAGTCAAGGTAAAAAAAAAAAAGAAAACACACCCTCATGGAGAATCGGACTACGGCCATCCACACCAAAGCTGATAGAGCACTTGCTGTGTGCTTGTAGTTATGGATTTGTTTGATGTGATTTTGTATGACACGCCCCTTTGAAAAGATCTGAGGTGGATGGGGGATACCACTCGAAAGCAATCCTTTTGAGACATCGTGGCTGACCTTTGGTTACCATCTTATAAACTGAGAGGTTATTTTGGAAAAAGCATTCAGTACACAGGTATTATATTTCCTCTCCAGTACAAAGAGAATACAACACACACACACACACACACACACACACACACACACACACACTCACACACACACACACATACACGCACACACGCATACGCACGCACGCACGCACGCACATGCACACACATGCACACACATATACACAAACACAGTACACACACAGACAAGAGCAAACACACACATACACACACGGAC